GGGGAAAAAAGATGTCTTTAGGGCTAGGGGAGGTAGGGGTAGTGGGCAGTGTTGTCAAAGTCGCGCCTAGGCGCAAGGTGAGTCGAGGCACACCATCTGCTCCTGTATAGGTACCAGGCGAGGCGGCTTGAGCCAGGCGAGCGCCTTAGCCGCGATTTTAAAAAAGGCGAGAGAGGCGCAAGGCCCTCGCCTAGGCGCGACTGAGCGTTTAATCTGTAGATCTGATCTAACGACTCAGATGTGACTCAGATGAACCTTTCGAATGGCTCATAATCACAGAGGATCAGAACTCATGTACCATATGAGCCAAATAGGACTAAGATTAACCCTAATCGAAGTCGTCTCTCTCTTTTTCGCCTCGCAATCGACTTCGAGCTGCTGGAGCTAGACTTGGTCTGCGACTACGACTGCGACACAAGAGCTGGACTTCGACTGCGACACTGGATCGACTTCGGCTTCGCAGGTTCGACTCTCTCTCCCCTTCTCCTTCTTCTTCGTCTTCGACACTGGTCGTTCGACTTTCATTTTTTTTTTTCCTTTTTTTTTTTCAATTATTTAAGTCTATTTTTTTCCTTCAGTTCAGTCCATTCCTTTTCTTCTTCTTTTCAATTATTAATTTTTTCTTCTTTCGACTTTCTTTTTCTTTATTTTTTTTTTCATTAATGATTATTACATTCATTATGATTATTACATAAATAAATAAATTAATTCATACATACATAAATAAAAAAAATAGATACATTACATTACGTTCATTATGATTATATTGAAATTGGTTCATCATTATACTGAAATTAATTAATTGATCATTAATTAAAAAAATAAAAAATTGATTCATAAGTTAATTAATTCATATATTCATTACATTACATACATTGAATCATAACATTAATTAATTTATAAATTGATTCATAAGTTAATCAAAAAAATAGAAAATTGATTAATTAATTAGAAAAGATTAATGTGTTGTGATTAATAAGAATTTAATGTGTTGTATGTGTTGTGATTAATGTGATTAATAAGAATTTAATTGATTAATAAAGATTAATCAATTTATTGTGATCAATTTATTGTGTTGTGATTAAAAAAATAGAAAATTGGTTGATTAATTAATTGATAAATTGATTCATAAGTTAATCAATTTATTAATGTGATGAATTAATAAATTGGTCAAAGTTTTTCTTGAAAAAATAATGTAACATAGGAATGAATGTAATGGAATGTAATGTACATTAATTAATTAATTCATCATTAATTAAAAAAATAGAAAATTGATTCATACATTACATACATTAATTAATTCGTCACATAAAATACATTACATTCATTATACTGAAATTGTTTTTCTGTTATTTATTTTTTGTGTTGTGTAGTAAGTACTAAGTAGAAAATGACATCGAAAAGTAATAGAAAAGATCCGGCGTGGCAATATGCCCATTTGGTGGAGGAGAATAATTTAAACAAGTTTGAGTGTAATTTTTGTGGTAAAGTATCAAATGGAGGTGTTTATCGGGTGAAACAACACCTTGCGGGAGGTTATAGGAATGTTACTGCTTGCCCGAAGTGTCCTCATGTAAGAGAAGAGATTAGAGAGTTCATGTCTAAAAAAAAGACACAAAAAGAAGAAATGAACATGTTGCCTGATTTTGATGACATGGACATGGAAGATGAAGATGAAGATGATGATGTCGTTGAGATCAATGTCAATCAACACCGCAAGTTGACAAGTAGTAGCCAAGGTTCATCCAAATCCAAATCCAAATCAAAAATGCCAAAGAGAAAAGGGCCTATGGATGTTTACTTCACACCCAATCCTGAATCAGTGGTGAAAAATCGAAGAGACCAAGCAAAAGGGAAACAAACAAAAATTGATGCAAATGACCCTTACAAAAAAGAAATGAGAGCTCGGGCACTGCAAAGATTTGCAAGGTGGATGTATGATGCTGGTATCCCTTTTAATGCAATAAATTATGAGAGTTTTGGACCAATGATTGAAGCCATTGGCCAATATGGTCCTGGTATGACGCCACCGACTTACCATGAAGTGCGGGTTACCAAACTAAAAAAAGAAGTGAAACATACTGAAGATTTGATGAAGTATCATAAAGAGGATTGTGCAAAATACGGGTGTTCCATAATGGCTGATGGTTGGACTGATAAGAGAGAAAGGACATTGATTAACTTTTTAGTTAATTGTCCAAGAGGAACCATGTTTGTTGAGTCGGTTGATGCTTCTAGCTATTCAAAGGATGGGCAAAAGCTATTTGAATTACTAGACAAGTTTGTGGAGAAAGTTGGAAAAGAAAATGTGGTGCAAGTTATCACTAATAGTGCTGTAGCTAATGTGTTGGCGGGTAAGAATATTTCCTCATTCCTTACATCAAAATTGTTTACTCATAATTTGTTTTGTATTTAAAATTTAAAAACTTGAAAATAATAATTCTTCATTATTGTTACATTATAGGGAGGTTTTTGGAAGCTAAGTATGAACACTTGTATTGGACACCATGTGCTGCTCATTGTTTGGACTTGATGTTAGAAGACATTTTCAAGATACCTAGACTGAAAAAGACATTTGAAAGAGGTATTGCAGTACATGGCTACATTTACAATCGGCCTACGTTGCTAAACATGATGAGGCACTATACAAATTTGAAGAATTTGATCAAGCCTGCAAAAACTAGATTTGCAACCGCCTTTTTGACTTTATCTAGGATGCATCAACAAAAAAACAATTTGAGAAAGATGGTCACCTCCGAAGACTGGACCTCAAGCAAATGGGCAAAGGAGCCACAAGGTAAAAGAATGGCACAAACTTTGTTGATGCCTTCATTTTGGAATACTGTTGTGTTTGCCCTTAAGGTCTCGGGTCCTCTTGTCAAAGTGCTTAGATTGGTTGATACCGAGAAGAAACCTCCCATGGGATACATTTATGAGGCAATGGATAGGGCAAAAGAATGCATTGCAAGTTCATTTGATCAGAAAGAAGAGAAGTATAATGAAATTTTCGAAATCATTGACAAAAGATGGGATGTCCAATTGCATCGACCTTTACATGCAGCTGCGCATTTTCTTAACCCAGAATTCTTTTACCCAAAAGCGTTAGAGGTGCAAAGAGATCATGAAGTGATGAATGGGTTTTATGAATGCATGCAAAGGTTGGTCCCGGATGTCACTGTTCAAGATTTGATCACTAATGAGATGAGTATTTATATGAAGGCTGAGAGTCTTTTTGGCAAGGCTGTTGCGATTAGGCAAAGAAATACAAGAGCACCAGGTAATATATTATAGACTCATAGAGTTTATTTTGAGTAATACTTTTAGTAAAACTTAATACTTGGTAACAATTATTTCTAACTAGTGGATTATCGCAGCTGATTGGTGGGCATCATATGGTTCTTATACTCCAAACTAGCAAACTTTTACCATAAAAGTCCTTAGCCTAACATGTAGTTCATCGGGTTGTGAACGAAATTGGAGTGTATTCGAACATGTGAGTATTTAACATTCTAACTAATTTTTTGTTCAATTCAAATATTTTTTATTCTAATTATATAGAATTTAATATATTTTTAATAATTGCAGCTTCATAGCAAGAAAAGAAATAGATTGGAACAACAACGTCTCAATGATTTAGTGTATGTCAAATACAATAGAACATTGAGATTTAGGTATGACATGCGCAACACTCTTGATCCCATATCTTTGCAAAATATAACATTAAGCACAAAGGTACAACCATTCCTGTCATTCTTCTCTCTTTTGGACGCTCTACACCCCTCTCCAACAACTGAAAACTTCAAGAACAGCTCTAGACTTAGGATTCACTTTTCAGCAAATTAAAATTTTTTGTTTTCCGTGTTTCTTTGTTTTTACTGAATTTTTTTAATTTTTAGATACGCCTAACATAATTCACTTAAAAAGTTTAATATTTATGAAAAAAATCTTTAGAAAATTCACTAAAAATACCATAACAAAACAAAAAACAAACGAGAATTCAGTACATTTTTTGTTTTCTTGTGTATTTATTGATTTTTTAAAATATTTTATTTACAAATATTTTACTTTTTAGATGTGTCTAAGTAACATGCATCTAAAAAAGTAATTAAAAAAAATTGCTTAAAAATTTAAAAATATTCACTAAAAACAATAACCAAAAAAAAAAAAAAAACGAAAAATAAAAAACTCAATT